GGCGCGGCGCCGTCCCGCTTAGCCCCGCTCCGCCGGCGGGAACGGGGAGGGGGGTCGGTCCCTGAGGCGAGGCACGGGGCGGGACAGCCCGCGCCCCGCAGCCGTGGGGTAGAACGGAGCGCCGGGCCCGGGTTGCAACGTCTGGGCCTGGTTTCCTGATGGCTGGGGCTGGAGCGGAGTCCGCTGGGAGGCAGATGGAGACGGAGCGAAGGGCTTTGCCGGGCCCCCCTCAGCCCTCCCCGCCCGCCTGCGTTGGCGTAGGAGCCGCGGCGATGCTCTGAAGGGCATTAGCTGCGATCAGCGTACGGCTGACTGAACTCGGCGGCGATGCTGCAGCCTCTTTCTTCCCCACCTCCGCGGAAGAGAGGGGCCCCTTCTCCATCTCCCCCCCGACTCTGCCTGCCTGAACACGTCCCAGTGATTCGGACAGCCTCCTGAACTGTGAAAACCTTTGCAACGTGTTTAAACCCTCTTTGCAGGGCTAGCTGGGCATGAATAGTGCTTTCGCCGGCGGACAATGGCAACCTCCCGACTGTCTCCTCAGATTAATAAAAGTAGGCGGCAGGCTCTAAAAACCTGCTTTTCTCTGATAAGGCGACTCGTTATCGGCGAGGCCCAGGTTAAGGAATCAGTGTTTCGCGGAGGTTTTTGTGATGTTAATGCCTTAACTTTCTGGCTACCGCTTGCTCCTGTGAAGGGCTGTCGCTAATAGTGACTTGCCGTAGCCAAAAGATTGGATGACAAAGAGGTTTTTTGGTTACCCAGATACCTCCAGGGAAACTCGAGAGCTTGTTGTGCAACCAGGAGTGCTTAATTAAAAAAAAGTGCAGTCCTAAGCACATAATTTTATGCCCGACATCCCATTTATAAAGCAGAATTAAGGCTAATTTAGAGGAGTTAAAGTTTGGTGGCCTGATGGGTCGTGCAGATGCCAGCTCATTTCCAAACCGTGACCAGACGAACGAAGGCCTTTTCTGCCCGGGCAGGAGGCTCTGCTGCGAGCCACGTGCTTGCAGCGGGAGCCCTCCTGTGAAACCCTGCGAGAAACTTCGCTTTCGCTGGGTGACGAGCTCGCCAAGACCGCGGCGCTGCTGCCTGCGAGCCCGTTGCTCAAGCAGCCCGCGTTTTTCTTCACTACCTGCCCAAAGTAGTAAATTTTACAAAAGCCTTAATTTAAAAACCTTAATTTATTGGGGTTAGCTGGAGTGATCCAATGCCAGCGTTAATTCCCTTTCCACAGGACAAACTGATAATTTAATTTAATACAAAGAAAACGTTTCCCAGGCTGGCCGGACCACGTGCTGGTCCTTTATCTGCCGCCCGGCCGGAGGCCGCTGTTCGGCCCTTGTTCTCCCTGGGGGAAGGTGGTGCCGGGGCCCCTGCAGCATGTGGTGATGGACGGCACGTAGGGAATGGGGCTGCAGTACCTTGTCGCTGCCGCCCGCAGCTGGGTGCGCAGCAAATCTCCATCCTGGAGCTGGGGGTGCAGCAGAGGGATCTATACTTCCACCTAGAGGTATATTTACATTTAAAAAAAACCCAAAAAACTCTTTTGTAATGCAAAAAAGATTTTTACAGTTTTCTTGAAGGCAGCTATATGGTTTCTGCTGGTGTGGGGCCAGGCTGAAAGGCTCTTTGTCCTGTGTCCAAGCAGCATGCTACACATGCTGTAGGTGTGCCTGCACTATGAATACCCTCGAGATAAGTCTTTCTCATTGCCAAACATCTGATGCTCATCATCTCAATTCGATTAATTTTTTTGTTAAACCTCCTATAGGCCTTTGCCCTGCAGGGAGGGCAGGCTTGGCTAAGTCATATGTGGCTCTGACGGCTAATCCGGCTGCATGCAGGGAAAGTGCTGATGCTGCCCAGCGCTGTGCGGGCTGGCCTGATGTTCCTGGCCCCCGTAACTTGTTTGCTGAAAAGCCAGAGAGGCATCTCCGTCGCAGAGCTGCGGCTTGCTGCTGGGGAGAGCGTATGCCAGCCGGGAGCAGGTGGTGGCTTCTGGGTCTGGTCCAGCGTTGCAGGAAAGAGATGGCATTTTGGGGTGGCCATCTTGTACTTACGTAACAGCACGCTGCCACCTCCTGCAGCAGCAACCAAGGGAAGAACTTGTTACACTCCCTCTCTGGAAGAGGGGCTGTATTAAAAGCCTACTTTTCCACAGAGCTGGATTTTTTGTTTTGAGTGCCTCGGAGTGAAGAAAGCTGATGTTTTTTTAGGCTTTTTTTGGGAATCTGAAGGCCTGCCCGGTTTCATAACCCTGCCCTTCTCAAATACAAGTGCTAACTCAAACCATTTCTGCCTCTGGCCAGGGACACAGGGTGTGAGCAGCCTTGTTCTGCAGCGTCAGTGAGGTTGTGTAAGTGAGGCTGACCAATAAAACCCAAATCGTCACCCGCCATGAGCCTCCCCGCTGCCTGCCTGCAACTTTTACAGGCAGTAAAACATTTTTGTCCAGCATGGCGATGGTTAATGCCGGTCCTGCCTGGGGACAGTCCCTGAGGCCTTGCCGCTGCAGCTTCCACTTCCCTTTGTCACCGATAAAGGCCTGGCCCAGGGTGGGGATTGCTGCTGCCTCTCCTTTCTCGGTCCCCGAGGGCAGATCCAGAGTTGCCATGGATTTAGGGTTTCTCCCAGCCGACCGCAGGATGAGCTGGCTGGAGTTAGTCACATCACTGCTGCAAAACCGGTTATCCTGACCTTAACCAGCTCTTTCTAGAATATTCAAGAGCTGGGGAGATACCAGAAATCTTTGGGACGCCCTGCCTGAAGCACAGGCAGCCCAAGTAATAAACTTGGGGATTTAATCATTATTCCTTGAGGAAGAAATTCAGATTTATTCAGTGTTGGAAATATTCAGGATTTGTAGTTTATTGCTTAGCCCCCTTCCTCACTCAGCCCAGACTGAGTGCTCTGTGTCTTTGGGTGTCCTTGAAGTCCTTGCTCCTCTGTTTGATTTCAAAAACAGCAACTCTGGACTAGTGGGAAATGCCAGACATTCCTGTTATATTTACAAGACTGGTCCTTCCAGTAGAATTCAGTTGATGCTTTGTAAATACATGGTAATGGAAGACAGGAGGAAGTATTAAAAAGTGAAGCTTGTTGGTAGCAGGACACGGTGCTGCGGGCAGATGGGTATTTGGGATACTTTTTGGCTGCTGCGTTTTTGCTCTCGTCCCTGGACAAGGTCACGGTGTATCTGATTAACTTTTCTGAGCTCACTGAACTGCTGGAAAATCTTGCAAAGGGGATTCTGACTGGGAACTTAACTTTCCTTTCTCTATATATTTATAAAGACTTTAGGGGGTTTAAAATTATATTTGCAAATGACTTGAATGGGTGGGGGATTTGCATGAGATAGGGAGAACTCGCCTGCCTATTTTTGAAAACTTAAAAGTCATGCTCTGGATGCAGTTTCCATCTCGGAATCCCCTTGTTTCGTATTTCTCTTGTTCCCAGAAGCTGTGCAGACCCACTCGCCCATGTTTGTGTGGAGGCGAATTCCCAGCAAAGGCTTATTTTTTTTTGGCATCTAGAGAAGGCGGCACTGCTCTGCAGGTGTCGCAGGATGCGGCAGCAAGTGTTAGAGGGCTAAAACACAATGTTTCGGGCTGACCAGTGGGTTTTCCTATAATAATGGGACTTTGTTGGGCTTTTTATGTGGGCAGACCTTCTTGTACTGACTCTGGTGAATTAGCAGCTTCTGGCAGGGCTGAGGGAAAGGAGACTTTGCCAGGACAAATTATGGTTTTCGCTGGCCTGACTCCTTTGTGCCGCATGGGAGCGAGGCAATGGTGAGTCAGGGCTGCCTGCGAGAGGATCTGCACGTACGTGGGGAAGGTCTGCGGAGCAGAAGCGGCGGAGGGGAGGAGCGTCACCGAGCCTCTGCAGCACCAGGCAGGCACATGGCAGGCTGGCAGGGGATCTCCCTGCCTGTTCCTGAGAGGCATGGCTTCATTCTGGTCAGCCCTGCTAGCTTTGACAAAGCTTTCGGGTTTATTAGTGCCTCTGTTTCAAAGCTTAATACACTGAGCTAGCTGGTGTATGCAGCTAACACCATTTTGTGATTTATTGGGCATTTTTTTTTTTTTGTCTGCTTCAGGCAGGCAGAACAAAACCCCTGCTCTATCCCTGCCTTTAGCTGAGCAGCAGCCCATGTTTCTATGAGCACCATGCTAAAGGCATATTGTGTAGGTGAAGGCAGCTTATGCTGAAAGAGCAGCCTGCTGTGAATATCTCCTGCGTCCCCAGGGGATGAAGTTTGAAGTCAAACCACTGTTTGAAGTCACAACTAGTGATCTGCCCATGCCAGTAGCCACCACCTTACATCACTCTCTTACCGGAGGCTTTTTGAACGCCGGCAGTCTAGCCTGGGCAGGTCGAAGAGGACAAACAGCTTTTAGATGCCACTGCTACTTGAGAACAGAATTATTGCAGTGTGGCCTGAGATGCATAATTAGAAATGCCCAGGGGCACCAGTGCTGCTGGGAAATGAGAGTCCTCCCATCCCAGTGGACAGTTAAGCTTCAGTTCAGCTTCCTCTTGGGATTGCAGACTGTTCCTGCTGTTGTGGGGATGCTCTAGTCCTGTAGAGGCAAGCAGCCTGAGTTCAGAGAGGCTTCTTTTAATCCAAACTTTGAAAAAAAAATAACTAGTTTTAAAACCTTGTGATGGTTTTCTGCTGCCCTGGGTGAAGGGGAGTGCAGGGGCTGGGGGAGACCCACAGCGTCTTCAGTTTGAAGAGGGACCTTGAGCGTATTAAAGAAGTCTTCACTCTTTTTTACATGTTCTCTGCCAAGGTGTTGTGTTTAATCAACTCAAGTCCACTTGCTTGTACAGGCTTAAAGGATGGGTTTTAAGCTTAGGCAGACTTTGCCGTGATTAGGTGCTTCTCAGCAGAAGACTGCCTGCCTAAGAGCGTATCTGCAGTCACGCTAGCGCTGAGCTGCCTGGGTCCCCGGTTGCAATGGGAAAGGCAGTCGAGGCCTGTAGGAAAAATGACTCGAGAGCTGGGAGGGAGGAGGCAGAATCTCTGCCTGCACACTCAAGTGCTTGAATTTTGTTGCGTTGTGTAGCTCCAAGGGAAGACTGGCAATGAAGAGAAGCTATGAAGGGAACATCTGCGTAGAAGGCAGGTGAGCTTTGGGTGGTGTACGTGGGGGATGACATGGAAATAGAAGTGTGTCTTGCCTGTATCTAAGACTCTCAAGTAGGAACATAAAGATAGTTTGACTCAGTAGCAGCTTTCTTGTTACCTCCATATTCATCATGTAGGTGTGTTGGTGTCTCTGCTTGATGAGGAAGTCTGGGTGATTCCTAAACCTGGCACCACCTTCTTCTCTTCTAGACACAGGATTCCAGCGACGATGTCGAAGCACCACGATGCAGGGACCGCTTTCATCCAGACCCAGCAGCTGCACGCTGCCATGGCAGACACCTTCCTGGAGCACATGTGCCGCTTGGACATCGACTCGGAGCCAACCATTGCAAGAAACACTGGCATCATCTGCACCATTGGTAAGCAATTTCTAGATAGGGGAGAATTGCAGCTGTGAACTCCTGCGTTGGTGAAACTTGTTAGGAAATTGTGGGAAGGCTTCAGCTTTCATCCGTTGCCAGGGCTGAACTTCTGTGTTGAAAGAACATGACTTTCCCATGTCTGCCTAACCCATGTTATTGCTAGGAGTGAATCTGGTAGCCAGGGAGATCAGAACTGCTTAGGTTCTGCTACGGTCCTCAAGGCAAGTTAAAACAATCTGCTACGGTGGAGATGGACTGCTTCAGTGCTGAGCAAGTCTGTATCCATTGTACCTTTTCTCTTCCACATGAAACAGCCTCGTGTGTGTGGGTTATCTCATTATTTTTACAAAGTTAATATTCAAACTGTTTCTTCCTCCTAGGCCCAGCCTCCCGCTCGGTGGAGAAGCTGAAGGAAATGATTAAATCTGGAATGAATGTTGCCCGCCTCAACTTCTCTCACGGCACCCACGAGGTAAGGGTGGGGTCTGAGCTGATACAGCCCTGGCCAGGCCGTGTGTGTGTCTGCTGACCCTGTCCCTCATGGAAGAGGGAAATCCAGCTTAGTCCAGATCAGCCTTGGTGTGGGAAGGCGAAACTTAGCTCTGCTTTTGGGGAAAGCATGCTGGTTGTACATATTGAGCCTGTGTAATTGCTGATAACATTTAAGTGCTCTTTCTGAGCCATTCTGAAAGCAGTTCAAGTTCGTTCCACACCCTTCTCTGTACCAGGGAGCCAGGTAACTGACACTTGTGTGTGTGCCAACTGCTTGCCATGAAATCCTTCAGTTCTTCCCTGTGTCCTGCCGTTTGGTGTACAAAGCTGCTGCTTCTCAGTTAATAGCAGAAGCCGAGAACATTTGTCCCTGTTTTGCTGTGTACCTCTGCAGGAGTGTCCAACTATCGGTTGCTCATCTCATTTCTTATTTTGTTGCTGGGGGGTTTGCCAGCAAGCAATCAATGAATAACCTTGTCTGAAAAGGAAACTGTTAGTGATTTCAAGTAATTGCTGTGCCTGGCTGAAAAAAATTGAACTCCTGGGTTTGCTTGGCTAACCAGCTGCTCCGGTTGTGTTCCTGGCAGTCATGAGGTTAGCACCACGATACTTAGGAGGTGGTGTGGTGAGCTTATAAGAATAAGGTCAAAAGAAATCAACCCTGTTCATAGCAAACAAGCCCTTATTGATATAAATAGATGAGATCCTCAGCGATACTGGAGGAGCCAAAGATCCCATTCCAGGTTGCCTAGAATGCCACCTTGAGCCTTCCCACTGAGTTTTTTTACCCTGGCTGCCCTCCAGCTTTCAAAATGTCAGACGGTAGCCAGTAGCAGCTGTAGGTGGCTTTACTTACTGAACCGTTAGCCTCGTGCTGCGTAACAGCTTGGCCTTTCACCCTCGTGGCCTTTAAAGGCCACAGGGCACTGTCAGAATCGAAAGGTCTGATATTTAACTGTGGACGACTGTCAGACCTTGACTAAACACCCAGGGGCAGTGTCGATGCATAGGCTGCAGTTAGCAAAATCTGCCTGAAAGGGTAGCGTGGAATAACTGCCTCTCAGTAGTCCAATCCTGCACCTGGGTGGCTCAGCAGAGAGTTGGTGGCCAGGCTGAAACTGGGAATTTTCACAGCGTTGCTGCCCAAGTGAGCTACTGCTGTGTTTTGTGTACTTGTTAGCTGAGGACGGGGACTGTGGCTTTCTGCTTTGAGTGAGGTCTAATTGCGCATCTCGTACAAATGAGGTTAGATTACAGCAGCATCTGGTCCTGCTGTCATCTGTTGAGTTTGACTGTCAGCTATAGCCGATCTTAAGTCCCCTCCTGGTTACTCCAAAACACTCCAGCTTCCAGTGAAGCCCCAAAGAGTTTTCATCTGTCACAAGTGCTTTGGTTCTTGTGTCCACCCTAAAGCATTCAACAGGGCTTCAACTTTTAACAGAGGTGCTCTAGCACCTGGCTGCAACCCTTTTATATAGAAAAAAAAAAAAAAAATTGCTTTCACTTCCAGCTCTGCCTGCATTCCTGTTCTGCATACGTAACTCTTCAGGAAGTCAGACTCCCTAGGAGCCAGTTAGTCATCAGTATCAAACTAAAAAGGAAAAATCCCAGGTGACTGGGACCAGATAAACATAATAGCACTGTTCGGGCAAGTTTTCTGTACTGCATCCGTTTAGGCTGCAGTGCATGGAAGGGTTGGGGCCTTCTCAGTCTGAACTTGCACACTCGATCAGTAAACCAAGTAAGTTTTCCTGCTCTAAAGAATTAGCAGTTTTGGTGTTTCTCTGGCCAAGGGCATGCACACGAACTTTAGCACAGCTTTTTCCAGCCCCACCTTCCTGGTGCTGGATTATCGTCCCTGCAATACTGAAGTTGGTGTGTGGGGCTTGTGTCAAGGCGGATGAGTGTCATGAGGGAAGCTGGGTGTTTCCAGGTGAGTCAGGTCAAACATTGTCCGTCTGTGGAACAGAGGGGGGAAAGGGTATTTCTTATCTGCAAAAGTCTCTCAAGTGTTACACAACTTGCAGTCGAGGTTATCTTTTAATGTTGTTTAAGCAAGTAAAGTAAACTGATCTGCTGGTCATCTGAAGCTTGTTTGAGGTAGTTGGGATGGGAATTTCCCCACAGAACTGTCTGTCCTGAAACTGGCAGCGTTAACGAAATGCTCTTGCACACATGAAAGTTTGGAAGCTGGGTGCGTGGTGCTGGAGTCTTGAACTTCTGACCGCGATTGCTTTGGCACTCAGAATAAAATGTAAATACTTAAATGGATAATGTCCTCTTAGCAAATCCTTTATCTTTAGGGGAAATTTAAGTTATAAAAGAGCTTGTCCATCTGCTCACTTGTGGAACTGATAAGAGGGATCAGGCTTGGAAGTCTGTGGGGGAGTTGGCAGTGCAGAGAATGGCATCCTTCCTTCCATGCTCTGAAGGGAAGAGGAGAACAGCCATGTGTGGCAGTCACATAGCTGTGACATTCTTCTGGCATTCAGTTGTCTTTCCACGCACATAATAGTCCAGCTGCCAGTGCTGCTGATGTTCTGCCATGTTGAATAGGCAGGTGTTCAGCAAAGCTTTTGGAAACATTCTTCCTAAAGGCCTGTTGGTCAGTGGGCCATCTTCAAATGGCAAGTATATGTCCTGATGGAAAATCACTTCAGCTGAGTGCTTGGGCTGTCTCCTTGAGTTGTCCTTCTGGGATTAGAACTGGGGGCACTGAAGGCACAGCCAGATAACAGCTGGACTCCACTTTCATGTAGGGAAGGCCTTTGTATCTTCACACGCTGCTTTTCTGGAAGCTCAGTCTGAATTAAATTCTCAAGCTAGAACTGAAATCGAGCATAATGTGAGAGCAGAGCTGTCAGCTTGGGCAGCGTTTGGGGTGCGTAGTGATCTTTTTCATAAGTGGTGGAGTAGAAATGTCCTGAACGTTTCCATCTCCTTTTCCTTGCCAGTATCATGAGGGCACAATCAAGAACGTGCGAGAAGCTACAGAGAGCTTTGCCTCTGATCCCATCACCTACAGACCTGTGGCTATTGCACTGGATACCAAGGGACCTGAAATCCGAACTGGACTCATTAAGGGAGTAAGTTGCTTTTTTTTTTTTACTCCCACATTTTTCAGAGCATGAAATCATGTTAATGCTTATGGCCTTTTCCAAACAAAAAATGTCTCTAGGAAATGAGGTAACAAATCAACTACCAAAAGGTTTGATGAACTGCTGCAAGCTGGGAGGTGGTGGTGTGCTGGCTTCTACTGGTTTTGCTGAAATGTATGTTTTGGCACGCAGAGTGGCACAGCAGAAGTGGAGCTGAAGAAGGGTGCATCTCTCAAAGTGACCCTGGATGATGCCTTCATGGAGAAATGTGATGAGAATGTGCTGTGGGTGGACTACAAGAATCTCACCAAGGTTGTAGAAGTTGGCAGCAAAATCTACGTGGATGACGGTCTGATTTCCTTGCTGGTTAAGGAGAAAGGTGTGTAACAACCATTCCAGCTATGCCTGTTTGTTTGGCTTTTTTCCCCCTCAAAAAGTACTTGTGCTTTCCCTCCCGTAACTGCTTGCAGTTGTGTATTAAAGAAAGGAGTACGTGGTTCTTAATGCTGTAGTGAGACTTCGAGCAAAACTTTCTCTACTTCAACTAGCAAGTTTCCAAAAACTAACTTCAGCTGGGTTTCACTAGACTGTCATCTGAAACCCCTCTTCAAAGGTGAATGTGTGGTAGGGACGTGCCAGTGCTCATGATCAAAGCCTGTTCAGCCAATTCATATTTTAGCCAGGCCAATTCATACTTTTAATGCAGTATTCAACTGGTTTTACAGCATAAACCCTGAGTTTTGTGGCTAGAGACAGAACTAGCTTCGGCTGGTAATGTAGGGGCAAGGTTAGTTCCACAATACTCCCTTTGTAATGCTGCCTAAACTGCTCTAGCCTCAAGGTATTGCCTCTAATCCCAGAGTGTGTAGGGAGATGGAGGTGAGGCTTTTGCGGTGCTCAGTTTGGTATTCCAGGGCTCCTGTGTACAGAAATGCAACCTGGTGGCTTTTTTGAGGAGGCAGCCCCAACCTCTCACATGGAGCAAATGGCATCTTCTCTAAGAACAGCGTAGAAGTGGTTTTAAACCGGTCTGTTGTGCTCCCATGGGTAAATTACAAGCTTGTTACATAAATGCGCTGAAGAGAGCGGTGGTGCGCTTTTATCACGTGGTCGCTGTTGGCCCTGCTGTTCTCAGGCAGGGAGGTGGTGTGGGAGCTGGCAACGGGGAGCTTTCTGGTAAACACTGACTTCTCGTAAACACTGACTGTGGGAACACATCTGTTTCAGGCAAGGACTATGTCATGACGGAGATTGAGAACGGTGGCATGCTTGGCAGCAAGAAGGGAGTGAACCTGCCTGGTGCTGCTGTTGACCTGCCTGCAGTCTCTGAAAAGGACATTCAGGATCTAAAATTCGGTGTGGAGCAGAATGTGGATATGGTGTTTGCTTCTTTCATCCGCAAAGCTGCTGATGTCCATGCTGTCAGGAAGGTGCTAGGGGAGAAGGGAAAGAACATCAAGATCATCAGCAAGATTGAGAACCACGAGGGTGTGCGCAGGTGAGCTTTGTGCAGGTGACGCTTCAGGTTTCTCACCCTGTATCAATGGCAGAACACAGCCCCTTCACGCTGTAGTCGGGATTCCTGGTCTCTGGCTTGCCAGCAGCAGCAAACTTACTAGTCCGAGTAACAAGGTAGTAGGGCAAGCCATCAGTTAATACCATGTGCATGAGACTTGACGTAGCTGCGGTATGAGCAGTGGGTTGTGTAACTGTCACACGCCCTGAGTTCGTGGGGACAGTGTCACGATCTCCCTGCATCCCTGAAAAAGCTGTAATACTTTTTGTGGTGTGTGTGAGCTCAAAGTTGAGCAAACTTACTGTTCTGGATGCAAATCGGTGAGCTAATGCATGGGAATCACCAAGTCTGTGACAAACCCTCAGGCTAAAATAGATCAACTCACTCTCCCCTCGATCTGTCTTTGTATAGCTTTAGAAAGCTTTATGTAGTACTTTATATATGCTGTGACTTGGTCTTGTTTTTCTTCCTCCTACCTTGGTATTACAGGATACCAAAATGGCACATGGAAAGCCTGTGTGCTGACAGCGTAGCTGCGTAACGCGCTCCAGAGCGATGCTCCCTTTCAAAGGGGGAGGATGGAACAGAAGGGAAGGTGCTTTGCAGAACAAATCGGGTAACAAATCTCTTCTCTTGCTGTCAGGTTTGATGAGATCATGGAGGCCAGCGATGGCATTATGGTGGCCCGTGGTGACCTGGGAATCGAGATCCCTGCTGAAAAAGTCTTCCTTGCCCAGAAGATGATGATTGGGCGGTGCAACAGGGCTGGCAAACCCATCATCTGTGCCACTCAGGTACTCAAAATGCAATGCTAGCTCGTAACTGCCGGAGTCTGGCAGGGTGTGAATGTCAGTAGCTGTCATGGCTTGATGGCATTTGCTAGAGAGTGAGATGCCAAGAGCAAAGAGGTTTTGCTCATAGCCGAATAGCTCGTCTTGAGTCACTTCTTCAAAGATATGTTTGGGATCTTCCCCAGTAAGGTTACAGAACCTCTTGTGTGGCTGCTGAAGGTTTTACCCCTCAAAACTTAATGCAGTATGAGCCTTTTGGGCTGACTAAACAAATTCTGGGGAAAAAAAATTGCTTATGCTTTGCCTTGTAGCAGCACATCTGTGGGTAACAGAGAAGACTTCCTAAGTTTCCCAGGTATCTTACAAGATGCGCCCACATTGCAGTATCAGAAGGAACTGAGTAAAAGATCCATCTCCTTATTATTCTGGGAGCTGCTAGTGAGGGAGAGAGCTGATGCTCAGCTTCACTGGTTCCAGTAGGGATCATTTGCGGACAGTCCTCAGGCAGTGGGACGACTGGTTTCCTGGCTGTGCTTGCTCTGTGCACAGGCTGTGGAAGCAAAAAGTATCTCTAGACACTAGTCATCAGACAAGGTTTTACTGGATTTACAGTGGCATATGCTCCTTCCTCTTCCTGTATTGCTACTGAAATATAACTGTGAAATGCTGCCTCAACTGGTGTTTCTTGAGGAAATGAGTGATGTTTGCCTGGTGGTGAGCTGCAGCAGGGAGAAAGCTGAGCACCTGAGGAAGACAGAAGAGCTGGCCAGGCTTTGGTGTGTGGAGTTATACTAGCTTCTGGGAGAAGGGGATAGGAAGAGCTAACCTCATGGAAAGCTGTCCTGTTTCCCGGTCTCTTCATAGCGGGTGCTTGGGAGACTGGTGGTGTTAGCTGTTCTGAGTTTACTAGCCTGTATGTATTATATAAAGAATTTGAAATCTTGTGTGTATGAAGATGATGTTAGTTGGTGCAGACCTTGCTGTTTACCTATTTCTAGATGAAAAAAACCAAACCCCTAGATGCTAATTTGGGAACATGTGGCTGGATTTGAGCTTTCTGTAAAGATGTCTAATGCAATACTCTGCTCGAAAGGGCTCAGAGTTCCTTGGGCCAAGCCCTGTGCTGAAAAGTTAAATTGGAAAGTCAGAATACTCTTCTCCCAGAGTCCTTAGGCTGCATCCTGTCTTCTGCCCTATCTATAAAGTATATTGAAGTGCACTAGTGAAAAAGCAGCTGGTTCCTTCTGCAGTGTCTTGATTTCTTTGGATTTGTTATCTTCCAGATGCTGGAAAGCATGATCAAGAAACCTCGCCCGACCCGGGCTGAGGGCAGCGATGTTGCTAATGCCGTCCTGGATGGAGCAGACTGCATCATGCTCTCTGGAGAGACCGCCAAGGGAGACTACCCGCTCGAGGCTGTGCGCATGCAGCATGCTGTGAGTACTGCCTCTCCTGCAGGTGAAAATAGCAGTACTCTCTTGCCCTGCATCTTCCATCTGAGCCAGGCACCTGAAGATCTAAGTGTGTCTGGTGCTAGGTGGCAGCACCTAGCAGGCCAAAGTAGTGATTTTTTTGTTCACACTCCTGCCGTGGGTGTTTCTTTACCTAGCATGGTCCTGAGGGCCTGAAACCTCCCTTTATGTGCTCTGAACTATTGTTGGGCAGAGCTGAGAACTGCTCTGCAGTGTTCTGAGATATAAAACTTCAGTTTTCTCATATTAATTTTTGTTTAAGCCAGGTAAAGGGGTTTTTGCTGTTACCTTGGTATAAGTTTCTCCAAATGCCCTATTAGTTTTGGCCTATTAAATGCCCTAAACTTCTTCAAGGTCAAGGAGCTGCTTGAGCAGTTTATCTCTAGATAATGAAGGTATCGGCTGACTCCTCCATGGGGGAGGCGGGGGAGGCTTGTGAGTCTGATTTACAGTGCTGTTGCATTCAGCACCTGGTGTGCTTGGTGTTGGGGGTGTTTGTTGCATGAGTACTGACAGCACCGTATTTTTACATGCCTGAACTGCCAGAAACCTCTGCTCTGCTTTGAGTTCACCCAGCTCGCGTTTCAGCTGATAAAAAGCCTTGATGTCAAGTATCTCCAAGTTACCAAGTGCTGTGAATCACAGCAGTGATAACTCTCACCAGTTTTGTTTGCAGTTCAGATCATATAATCAACTCAGCTAGTGTTTGTTTGCAGTGCATTATGTAAATATCTTTTACCTCTATCTGGTCACTATGGAGTGGTGTTTTTTGCACGTGGCAAATACAAAATATGACTTGATTACTGGGCAGTGACTGCTGGTTTATAGGCTGAACACTAATGGTGCACCTAAAATGTTCTTCTTCAGTTTTCACCCCTTAAATCACAAGAGTTGATTTTCTACCAAGAGTGGGAAACTTGCTGCAGCAAACCTTACACCTGGCTTTCCATTCTGGCATTCTTAGACTCAGGCAGGTTGTACTGTACCTGTAGCCTGAGCTCAGGATCTGTTGCACATGCTTCCCTCTTCCTGCAGACCTGGGAATAGTGGTGTTCACTCTGCCAGGCCCCTGCAGAAATACTGAAGGTTTTAACCCTCTGTGCAGAGGAGCAAATACAGATTCACTTTGCTTAATGTAACATGGCACAGGCAGCAAGGTGCCAACTGTGTCATGGTAGAAGCATGTCCCCCTACAGTCAGGATCTTTCATCTGAGCTAATTCACTTGGTGTTAGTCAAGAGAAGCCCTGCCCAGCAATAACCCTGAATAACCACGGTCTGAAAATCTGCAGCATGGCCAGAGCAGATGAATATTTCCATCTGAAGTGGCCAAGTGGTCATAGCAGGGAGAGAGCACCTTACCTCTGGTAAAAAGCGGCTCCTCCTGTATGTGTTCCCTGGCCTGAAATTGGTATCAATTTAGGTTTATGTATTTGTTTATCCAGTGCTGCTACAGGATTATTCCAAATAAAGCTTCCTCTGTAGTGAGGTGCAAACAGCAAACATGGGCTGTGATGCTGAGAATGATGGGAGTCTGTGCCATATAGTAGCCTTGCACCTCTCTAAAAGACTTGACCTGTCTGTCCTCAACCTGTCCCAGCAGATTTGCCGGGACTCTGCAGTGGTTTCACTTAGCAATCCCTTTCTAGCCAGCCTTATAGAAATGAGCTTGCTCTTCAGTAGCTGGCATATCCGTGACAAAAATGCCATGTGCTTTGAGTTTAGTAGCAAGCTTCCAAATATTGGGCAGGCTGTTTCCTGCTTGTGGGAGTGGGCTTCCTTCCAATTCCAGTCCATGATCCGCACTTGTCTTCAGATGCCACCCTGGCCATGCTGTCTGACGGGACCAAGGTTTAAATAGCTGCTCCGTTTTCCTTTCTTCCACCTCTACCCTGGTATCTCCACCTGCCTACCATCTGGAAACCCTCTAGCCATTTCTGTATGAGTAAAGCCAGCTGTGACGTGGAGTTAAGAATTGCTGTGCCCTTCTGCAGCCACTATCAAAGCAGACATGTTGTATACACATAGTCTCTTAAAATTGGGGAATGCAGGTTTCCCTCTAAACTCAGGTTCACTCTGCGTGTTATGCAGAGCTGCCTGCCTTTGGACCAGGAGCTGAAGAAAAACTGCCTGGCTACCAGCTCTTGCATTTGGAGTGTTTTGAGGCGACTACTCCTATTTTATGTAACGGCAAATGTAAAGCCAGTAGTAACAAAACTGACTGCTTTAGGACCAGAGTTGGCACTGGACTGCTGTTCCTGCCTGTCACATGTGTCCTGGTATTTTTAGACATAAGATGCTTAACTACTTTGGCTTAAATAGATATCTGTGGAAGAGGGATAATTCCTAGCATCACATTCATTAACACTAGAGTAGCAAAATTCTTTTGGAAGGGGTCTAACTACAAAGCTTTCACTATAATGGCACTTCAGTCTCTGCTTAAACATCAGCTCGTCATGCTTTGTGTAGCGGCTGCTCACTTTCTGGAGTAACTGGATGAAGTTGTCCTTGAAAAGATGATCAACCTTTGCATGCTCTTCTAGTCTCTGCAAGCCTTCTTTATCGGGTTGTCAGGGGCTAATGCAGCCTGCTGAGATGAGAATTGTCTTTAAACGTAAGTGATTCCCAGCATACTGGGATGAATAGATTACTGAACTTGTTGCAAATGCTTACCCTGAACAGAAAGCTCTTAGTTGTGCCTCTGTACTTCTTGTCTGTCCAAGTCTGGCACTGTACAAACACCCCAGCATACATGTTGTGACAACCCTATAAGGAAGACTTGTTCCTATTTATTTCTCTATTACCGAAAGGGAAGTTGGTAAAGCATGTGGAGGTGAAACTTCATTGGCTCTCAAGTTAAACTAAACCTAATGAAGCAGAGAGAGAAAGTTTCCCAACTTCAGGGGTGGTGTTGAAAGTGCACTGCTTGCATGTTGGCTCCATGAAGACTGTTCCAGCAGTGCTGTGAGGTGTTGGGAGAGTGTGAAGGGGGGGACATGGAGCTACAGAGATTTCCTCTTGAGGAATTGCAGGCAGGACCATCAGCAGGCTGGTAGATGGCATGAGAGTCTCTAAAGGAAGTAATAAGCAGCTGCAACAAAGCACAGTCTGCCTCAGCTCTGGTCCTTGAAAAACAATCTGTGTTTGCGTGCTCTGAAAGGACTCCAAAATATAGCAAGAATGCCACCTTTGAAATGCCTGCCCAGTGACCAGGGCCTGCCAGTTACATGGCATGGTGGACCAGCCAGTGTGGCTGTGGCATGTTAGACTGGATTGCATTCAGCAAACTCCGAACTTGAGAGCCAAAAAGAGTTTCACAGCCTGACCTTTAATATCCTTGTGCATGCATTACTATGACAATTAAGCAAATTAACATGATCTCATGTTACTCTGGTATATCTTTCCTTCTTTTCTTTCCTCTTTTCTCCTCCTTCCCTCTTACTTGGGCCTGCAGATCGCTCGTGAGGCTGAGGCCGCAATGTTTCATCGTCAGCTGTTCGAAGAAATTTTCCGCCTCAATGTTAACAACAGGGACCCTGCCGATGCCATGGCAGTAGGCGCAGTGGAGGCCTCTTTTAAATGCTTAGCTGCAGCCCTGATAGTTCTGACCGAGTCCGGCAGGTAGGGCTCAGAGAGGGGGCTTGGTGCCCGTTGTTTCCATGAGTAAAAACACGCTCTGTTCTAACACTGCAAATATTTAGCAAGCAGCTTGCTGCTATGGTATCAGCCTTGCATAACCGCTGCAGTCTGAGTTGAGTTCATCTCTGTGGCAGGGAGGGACTCCAGGTAGGCAGGAGTAGAGCGAGAGTGCCTGGCAGTTGGCATGAATGTCACCCGAGTGTGGGCTCAGCAGGGCGAGGTGACTCAGTAGGTGCCACCAATTCAGAAGAGAAACCTTGAGAATTGAATGGTTCCTTGAGAAGGCTGTGCTGTTTGGGTGGCTGATTGTTGCAGCCATCACCCCAGCATGCTGAACTAAATCTGGGCTTGCTAATTGGTAACTCTTAATGTCAAAAGCTGATGGTATTTGTGTGACACCTTGCTGATAGAGCACCTCGCCTTACCCTGTGCCGCCCCGAGCGAATGATGCGAGTGTTGTCTTCCCGAACGCATGTTGCTCTTATAGATTGCCCGGGAGGCCGAAGCCGCCATCTTTCACAGGCAGTTGTTTGAGGAACTGCGTCGCCTGACTTCCCTGAACTGTGATCCCACGGAGGCCGCTGCTGTTGGCGCTGTGGAAGCGTCCTTCAAGTGCTGCAGCGGGGCCATTATTGTCCTCACCAAGTCTGGAAGGTAGGAGGTGACAGGTTCCCGCAGGTCAAGCCCACTTCGTGATGGGGTGGGGGAAGGAGACTCGCAAAACGATGGCTTTGAAGGACTAGAGCTGTAACTCTGAAGCCCAGGTTTTGGCAGCAACTGAGAGCACAGGCCGCCTGCCTGCAGTGTGCCGGTTCCTCAGGAGATGAGCAGAGGTCTCAAACATCTGCACATGCATAACCTCTGAGTTCCTCAGCCTGCCTCTGCCAGCGTGGCATCAGCACCAAGCCCTGCCTCCCCTCACTGTTGCGAATGGCATCTCTGCCAGCAGTGCTGGCTGGAAGAGTCGAGGGAAAATAAGTGTTGCAGCTTCGATTCAAACTTCTTGGCAAGAAATCCTCAATTTAACAGTAAGGCAGAAGTTTGCCTTGGCTTTTCATAGTAGCATCCAAACTATAGGTCCCTTACTGAACCTTTTGGGCATCAGCCCTACTTGTCTAAGCCTGAGGGGTGAAGAGGGGCTGCTTAGCCTAGAATTGTTAGGCAGGGAAACTGAAAGCGTTGGAAATTTCCTCTTACAGGCTTCCTTATGCCTGCCAGTGAGTAATCTCACTGAACAGGCAGGCATCTGGCAGGCACCCAGCAGCCAAGTGCTGCCTGCACACTCAGGTGAGCTTAGTGCCTTGGCTGCAGGTGAGAGACAGCAATGCAGATACGCTGGAACAATATAGTTCGGGATTTCTGTCCAGTGACAGTGACAACCACTGAGTAGAGACTCACTCTTCCAGTTGTGGAGAGGAAGCTGAAGCCTTCCTGATCAGCTTTTCCATCTAGAGGAACTAGGCTGCCTGCCATCAAAGCACGTCCAACCGTAAGTCTCAGACTGCTTTCTGGAAGAGAATCTGAATTTCTTGCACTGGATTTGGACCAAAGAAATAGTGCAGCAGCAGAGCTGTGATTATATGTGTTGGGCATGGTCTACCTGAAGAACTGGACCATCAGTGAACCCTTCACCCAAATTTACAGCTTAAAATGATTTGAAGCAGCCACTTTCTGCCGAGATGAGAAGTGACTATAAGCACTGAGTTTCTGGATACCCTTGTGCTTCTAATGTTTCTTTGTAAAAGGTTCCAGTCTTACACTTGACCTTTTTAAAGGGATTTGAACTCTGATATTTGAATATTTTTAGCTGTGGATTCTGTTACAGCCTTCGAGTACCTGGGTCTCCTAGAGCTACCAGGAGGCTTCTTGGGCAGCGTGGGAAAGATTGTCTGAGAGCTGGCACGTGTGTTTGGGCGCTTCAAGCGGACTGCTACTGCCTACTTTAAGCAGCAATCTTTAGTGGAGCTAAGCTCAGCAATACTCAAAGAAGGCTGCAAAAGCTAGTGGAGATACTGGCATCCTCATGGAGCTGTAAATGTCATGGCCTTGCAGTTTTAATCTCCATTTATTTGCAGATGCGCTCTGTAAGCAGTGCCCAGGGAGGGGGAAACTAGTGTCCACCCAGCATGTGCTGCTTGTTATGTTAAGGCATTTTGAGGATTCCATGCACAACTTCCCGGTATAAATTTTGGCCTCAGTTGCATTTACTTCCTGTTGGGTGCAGGAGCAGAGCTCTGTGCAGAGGAACCAGCCTGTTTGCTGGCTTCAGCAGGTGAACATGGCTGGGAGGCAAACGGCTTCCTCCTTGGCAAGCTTTGGGTAGCGCTGCTGGTGTGGGCTCTTGCCATTCCGTAAACTGGGAGCTCCTCAAAATGGAGGGAACTTGCAGGGACCCCCATTGAAATGCCAAGAGCTGCTTGCAGAGGCCAGAATAAATGGCACCTCGCCACCTTAACATAGCAACAGAGACAAATAAAGGCTTGTTTTCGGGACCAAAACACGCAGATGGCACTTCCTAAACTCGGAGGCGAGGTGATTTTCACCACAAGGCTGGAGTAGGGACTGTTGCCAAGGGATGGCCTTTGGTGGTGGTCTGCCCAGTTGCCCAACTGAAATTCAGCAGAGCATCAAGCTCATTGGTGAGCTTGGCTCTTGCCAGCATCTCCTGTGGTCATACTCTGTGTCCCTCCAGGGGTTTTGCGGAGCCCTCCAGGGTGACAGGCAAACCTCACAGCTGCTTGTGCTGTGAGCAGAGGTGTCCCTTTGGCTGTACACAAGCTTCCCCAAGCTCACTCTTGGGTGGCTGTGCCTGTAACGTGGTGCTTCACCTCGCGTCTGGTTTCCTTCTAGGTCAGCACACCTGGTGTCCCGGTACCGCCCGCGGGCTCCCATCATCGCTGTGACCCGTAATGAACAGACGGCGCGCCAGGCCCACCTCTATCGGGGCATCTTCCCCGTCCTGTGCAAAGAACCAGCCCATGATGCATGGGCGGAGGACGTGGACCTCCGTGTGAATCTGGGCATGAATGTTGGTGAGTGACACCCCTCCAGCCTCAGCTGGGGAGTGGTCTGGTGGGATATGGTGGTCCTGAGTGCTTCAGATGGTGCTTTTGGGGTTACCGATAGGGACTGGTGACACGGGGAGAGGAACTGGCTGGCTGTGTGGTAACAGTATCCGATTGGGAAACGGGACGGCAGTTGCATAAACACGGCTGCATCCGATGGGGAAATGAGACAGCGGGTTTGTCACAGCTGCCTTAAAATAGGTTCCAGCAGAAAACCAGGTTGGTTTTGATGTGATAAGTGCTTGAACTGTGATGCTGATTGCTCCTGAGGGACAAGAGAAGCCCAGAGCAGGGTGACTCCTTTCTCCAGCCCCTCTCCAAAGCCCATACTGTTGAATTTCAAGCTCTGTGTCACAGAGGAGCCCAAAGCAGAGGCGAAGGGTCTGAGATGGGTGGGCAGCAGGAGGATAGGGGTCTTGATACCATGTGTGGGGAACGGGTGACAAGCCACGTTCCCCTGCAGCAAGCTCATGGGAGCCAAGCTCTGACACCTCCCTCTCTTTTTCTCCTAGGCAAAGCACGTGGGTTCTTCAAGAGTGGCGACCTGGTCATTGTACTGACTGGCTGGCGCCCTGGCTCGGGCTACACCAACACCATGCGCGTGGTGCCGGTTCCTTGAACGACTGACTCCAACCAGCAACCACCTTCCTTCCTTCCCCTTTCCCCTCCGCTCCCCTCTCCCCTCACGTTAGACCAGCCATCGCTTGCGATGTTCTTCTTGTCCCTAGAGTGGATGTAGGTTGCTAAACACCACCCAGTGCAGCAGCAGCAGGGGGAATCACTAAAAAAAAAAAAAAAAATGTATACTTGAAGTGTTTAGCTTTTTTTAAAAACCTCTCCCTGTAGCGAGGTATGTCAGTCAGCGTCAGAGGTTCCTGTGTGCTGCTGGGCCCTCTCAGCCTAGTGCCTGTCCTCAGGGTGTGACATGTCCCTTTCCCTGCCCCTGGTTTGGGGCAACAGGGAAGGGGAGAGGCAACAGGTGATGTGTGGTCAACGGTTCCCCTGTACCCCTCCTCACTCGAGGCAAGCTGCTACTCGCCCCCAGCAGAAAACTCTTCCCTGGCCACAACCCCCCCACAGACCAAATCCAAGATGAACCCAGCCCCCTAAAGCTGTTGTTTTTCAGGGGTGGGGGCAGAAGAAGGGCGTTTGCCACCTCTGAGCGAAGGGTGTCCCGTGCTCCCCTCGCAGCCTTGTCTCGTGTTAGTCGTGTTTTCCCCCCAAACCCAGAGCCTTCTCCCTCCCCCCGCGCTCCGGCGGGGGGCAGAGCACAGCTCCATCAATAAAGAGAAGCTGAAGCACCCGCC